CCAGTAGATAGTTGTACGTCATAGGTTCACATCCTTCTAGTTGCTGTACGTGGGACTCGGCCTCGCGTTGGACGGAGAAGTGGTGCCTCGGGGCGCTCCCGGGATCCGAACCCGGGCCGCCAGCATCAGAGCGCATGCACTTAACCGCTAAGCCACGGGGCCGGCCCTTCTTTTCCTTTTTGAACAATGCAGGCGACTGGCACTTGCCAGTAGCAGGAATGCTGACCTTCTCTCAGAAGCCCAAGCTGGGAGACTTCGACATAAAACCCGCTATGTGCCAAACAGCAAAGGGAGAACTTACTCTGTGTCCCAGCCACACCCAGCACGGCCTCCCCACTACCTAGCACCATGAGCCCACGCAAGTCACTGAATCTCCTTGAGCCTCAGCTCACCGAGCTGTGGAGTCGTGACTAAGACCAGAGATTTTTAAGATCTCTTTCAGCTCCAAATTCCATGACACTGTATAAATTTGAGTCCTGTTGAGGGGATTTTCATCCCTGAGGATTTTTTCAGATTTCCCTTTAGAGACCACTGATTAATTCAGATGGTGCTGGAGTTGTAAATGGGAGAAAGATGCCAGATTATCTCAAAGTTGACCCAGACCATCCTCTCGCATGAGTGTCTCTGGATCTTCCCCACCACCTCTCAGGCCCCCTCGCTCTTCTCCTGCACTTCTAGCCTAGACCGTGCACGACCACAGCAAGGCCTTGTTCCCACTCTCATAATTTCCCTGAAGAGGTTTGCTGATAATTGCTTAAGATATCAGATCTCCAAGTTATTTTCTATTTTAAATAGAAGGCTAAAATGAAAGAGTAATTCAAGACCCAAAGGACTGAATGAAAGGACTAACGGTAGAAAATTCTGGGCACAGTGGCAGCCACTGGGTATCTCCCATTATGTTGGCAGTGAGCGACTCTGCCTACACTCTATTAATACAAATTCTGGATGGGCAGTTCCCTCCCTAAATGCGAACCTACTGTCTGGGCAAAATATGGAGGATCAAAAGACTGTGATTCACATAAACAAAACTTTCTACAGGTTTCTGCTACAGGGTGCAACCCAACATTCTCTAGGCCTCACCAGCTCATCAAAACAAACAGGTTTCAATATTCAATTACATGAAAGAGAACAAAGCAAAATGCCAAGGGAAAATGTAGAAGAAAGCTCAGAATTACCGTCACTGCAGACACACTTCTGCCATAGGACACATATTCCTCTGAATCGCACCCACACCTACTCACCAGGACTTCTGCAAACCTCTCCTGCCCAAGCGCTGGTGGGAGTCCCTCTACTGTGACCCGTGTGCTCGTGAGCAATTCTGTTCATTGTCCATCCCCTCCACTGCTCCACCTCTTCTCTCTGGACTGTCACGTTTCTGACCAGGGATAAATCAATACCTCCATCTCCCACCCACTGTCCCTCTCTTCTACGGCTCGCCATGCGAGGCCTCACGATGACAACATTGGAGAGTGTTCTGGAAAGTGGAAGAACATTGGAAGAGACCATTCTCCTCTCTATTGTTACATGTGGTTAGATTTGCCAAGCAGTGCCGGTCGTGGTCCAATGTTTCACAGGGTTTTAGGCAAACTTCTCTTTCTGCTTTTACTTGAACAGCCCTCCTCTCCTCTTGCTTTCTCCACAGCACTCGGGATGAAAAACAAAACCAGTGACAGACACTCGCCTGTCTTCCAACGACCAAGCGTTCCTGACTTAAACTCATCACTGAGCCTGGCTTCCTCCTACCTGAGGGTCACTTCTCTCGTTCCCATGTGTGTCCACCCCAGTCATCAGCCATGCGCCAACTCTAGCTTAGCTCAGGAGGGACCTCAACCGTAATACAGAAAGCCGAGGCAGTGGATGGATTGCTAAGTTCCAGAAAGGTAGAGAGGGGAGGCACTAGCTTCGTAGGGGCAGGGATTTTTATCTGTCTTGTTCTTCCTAAAGGGCCAGCACCTAAAACACTGCCCCAAGCATAACCCTCTGCAGTTGCAGGAATGAATTCTGGTTCTGGATGGCAGACCATTCTCAGGGACAAAAACCCACTTCCCAGCTCCCCATTGTAAAGACAGCTTAGCGAGGATTAATGGGGCTAAGGAACACACAAGTCTGCCTACACGTTGGCTTTTCAGCCTTCTCTAAGACAAGCCCAGCAACTGTTCCTCGCTGGCGGCTTTGCTTATCTCAGACAGAGAATAGAGTAAGGCTAGCTCCTTTCCTGCCTATGTGGGGCTGCTGCTGCCGCCTGCTGAAGCTCATGAGATCTCTCTCAAGGCAGCGACTCCTAAGCCTTTTGCATTACACACCTTTTGAGAATCCAATGAAAATCATAGCTCTTTCCCAGAAAAAAAAAAAAAAATATATATATATATATATATTGCACAGATACACAAACACACATTTTGTACAGTATTTCAAGAGATTGAAGAGGCCCCTGAAGTTCCACCATGTAACACAAATGGTAGAATTTGAAGCAAACCAATGTAAACCAATCTAAAACCCAAGGAGTTGTTCTCCTCCATGTTGAAGAAATGTTCGAACATGCACAAAACAGAGAGAAATGTGTAAGAAACCTCTACGGACTCAACAGCTATCAACATTCTGCCAATTCTTATTTCATCCACTCCCTCCTCCCAAGTTTAAAAATGTTTGCTTTTGCTAGAATATTTTAAACCAAATTTGAGATATCTCTTAGTTTTTATCTGTAAATACTACAATATTTATCTAAGTGATCAAGACTTTTCTGTTTTTTAACATAACCATTAAACCATTATGACACCAACAAAATTAACAAGACTTACATCTGGTAAGTGGACTGTTTTAAATTTCCTCTGATTATCTCAGAAATAACCTACTGACAGTGGTCGGCCTGAATCTGAATCCAAACAAGGGCCACCCATCCGACTGGGATGATGTACTTGTTAAGGTAAGAATCCTCCTTCAGCGTGTGAGCCATATCAGCTGGTTATCTGACGGAAGTAGGGGCGGGAGAGAGGGCTTGCCGGGGGTGAGGGGGGCAGGAGATTGAGTTAATGACAAGTACTGCAAACTTCTAAAAATGGGGACTTTTTGGAGTCTTAGTTGATCCCTTCATATCATAAGAATAAAATTAGATGAGTCCAGTTTTCTCTTGACCTCAATGCCCAGTTAACACCATGAGCCCAGGAGGTCGATTTCACATTTCTTATCTGAATCGACAGTGGAGAAGTTGTGTGAGGACTCTGAGTGAGGTTCAATTTGATTTCACTCTTTCTTCACCTTGAGTAGGATAAGAATTATTGGCCATGTTAAACAGAAAATCCAAAGTCCTCAAATGTACACTGCCTGCTCTGAGGATCATGTGGATCTCCTAGGTGCCCATTCACCTTTTGATATGTTAACCCCCAAATCGAATGGGCTTACCTGCTGTCTTCCTTGTGCATCCAGCGTTGACGACTATCATCCGCTTTTTTCTCCACCAAGACCACCTCCATGCCTGCATGTAGGTCAGGACCTTGCACCCCCACGACTAGCTGAGGAGCCGCCTGGCTTATAATTCGCCCGTCTCTGTATTCAAACTGCTGGTGGCAAAGCCTCTGCAGTTGACTCTGCCTTGGAGAACGGCTGAGACACAGAGAATCCCATTAGTGGCAGAAACATGTCCCCTACACCGATGTGCTGGAGACTGCAAGTTCTGCCGGCGAGAGAACCACGTGGACCACATTCACCTCTAATGGGGAGGCAGGGCCACCGCGACACCAGCCATGCTATTTGCCCTGCCCTGCCGGGCCAACGTAAAACGTGGAAGTCTGAGTGCATTTTGTAACAGAAGTAAATGTTTATTCAAGAGAGTATGAGAAATTCATCAGCAAAGAAAAAAGGAGTTCAGTTGAAGAGATAATTTAGTTAAAGAGGGAAAAGAGGGAGGAGAAGGAGAGGGGCGTGCAGAATCAAAGCAGAGGACAACGAAGGGGCTCCGCTCAGAGCAGGGCCGTTTCTACCCTCTCTCCACAGGACCCCTGGTGAAGAGAATTCAATTCTGCACGGTTTTCATTCTTCCTGAACAACTCATAGAATATCATAAAAGAAAATGATATGCTAGTGAGTTCATTAAAGCAATCTCTTACTCAAGGATCTTAAGGCATTAAGCAGACTTAAACATATTAACCATCACAATGCATCAGCAATTAAATTAATTTATAAAAATCTATTAAGTCCCTACTATGTGCACAGACTAACGCTAAATGTTGAAATGCCAAAATTGTTTAATTCATATAAACTGCTACAACGTTAAGCACATGTCTAAAGATTATGGAATAATACAAAATATTATAGACTTCTGTCATTTCATTGGACATTAACCAGAAACAAATAAAATTAAAAAGGAAGAAATCACATTTTACTAATTTCTTAAAGACATCAGGGCATCTTAGATGCTTACTCATAAATTCATTCACACATTCCTTCAACAGATATACAGGCTCCATGCTAAGTCCTCAGGGGCAAAGATGGGTGAGCTCACTGTCTCCACAGAGAAGACACACACTGAATGAGAAATTACAGTACACAGCTAAGGTAAGAAGGGCCTTCCCACAATACCTGCAACACTTCAGTCAAAAATACAAGAAAGACAAAAATGTGTACGCTGATGTAAACAGCAGCTAACAGTAATGCAAACCCTCAGGAATCCTTTTGCCCTCAAGTGAGCAAATCTAAGACCTAGTAGAAATCTCCAACAGAATCCCTTGCAACTTCTTACCTGTGTTTCTTCTGTGGTTCTACACTGTCAAAGAGCTCTTCTTCCCTTTTCTTTGGAGGACCGTCATGCTCGCCACAGCTACGCGAGGTTTCCTGCCAGGCGTACCTGACAAGGGGGTGACGGGCCTCCACTTGGAGATGGGCTCTCGCGTGCGAATCCCTGTCAAGGTCAGAAGCAAACACAAGTCTAAGCATTCTGACTTACACCCACAGAACTTCTCTGAGGTGTGGTCTGATCCTATCCTGAAGGATATTGTGGATCTGTAAATCATATTGCCATAATGGTGCCTAACACTGTAAATCCACACCCTCCTAATGCATAATTTAGGTCTTCTAATATGAGGCTACAAATAAAATTCCCCAATCACATAATAAATAGCATTCTTTTTTGTTATATTTACTCAGAAGAGAATGAAGTTATGTATTATATCTCAAAAATTATAAGATTAAGACTACTTAGGAGTTTAAGAAATTCATAACAAATGTATAATGCGACTGCTTCTGCCTACCCGGTAAGTGGGTCATAACTCTGTCTGGAACAGCACAGCCTAGATTACTGCGTTCCATAAAGTTTACTCACTAGACAATGTTAAAGCAATCTTAATTAACTTAACTTTTCCTCTCAACAGAGAAATCTAAGGAGACTCAAATAGCACTGGCAAAAACACACCAGCTTTTGACAGAGAATAATGCACTAAAACACTGAGAGTAAACAGTCATAGTCTGAATAACTGAGCCGGCCTCTGGCTTCTTACTGAGATGAAGATGAGCACGGGAGCATAGCCGCCGTACAGACCTGTCTGGATCAAGTTCCAGACCACTGTCCGGGGCACGCTGGCCTTCCATGGAATCCTGACACAACATGGGAACTGCTCTGCTGAAAGCAGGATAAATACACAGGCAGAGAAGCAAGCATATTTCTGCCCTCCAAACACGCGAATGTGCCAATCAGGTTCTGTGGGGGCTGCGATGGGCAAGGCGCTGTGGTAACGCTCTACAATATCAAATTCCAAAACCTTCAGGGACAACTGCTGTGTTACCAGGGCAGACCATACACTTTTCAAACGTAACAAAAGTGCTACACGCGGATCCGAAATTGGTGGGTAACCAGGACTGCAGCACAAGCAGCTTCTCAAGTCAAAAATCTCAGTAACAGTTAAAAAACAACAGTGCCATCTTGTGTCGAAAATAAAAAACATAGCTTTCCCACCAACTCCATTTCCTTGAGGAAAAGAGGAAAAAAATGTCACTCGTAGTTTTAACATATTTAGCAGGGTGTAAACAACATTCTTCCCCCATATCTAGATGTTTCATTTTCTAACTTGGAATTTATCTATATGCTCTTGGGCTTCCAGGCAAATGAAGTACAGTCAAGTCAATCTTAGCCATTTTAAAGTCCATCTTACTTTATTCATTCTTTCCTTTGTCCATTCATTCACTCTTAGAACTAATCATCATTAGTTAGTCATTCTTTTCTTTAACTAATATTTATTGAACATCCATTTTATGATAGGCACAGAGTTCTAAATGTCAGGGATACAGGGATGAACAAAACAAATAAGTTCTCAGGGCTCATGGAGCTTGTGTTCTACTGGGAAGAAGATAGAACAGACAAGTAAATGAATAAACAAACAAGGTAAGTGTCGTAAGTGCATCCTGCATAAAACAGGATCTTGTGATAGATACGGACTGGGTGGGTGGGGCCACTTTAGCAACGAGGTCAGAGAAGGCTCCGCTGAGAGGTGACGTTTGAGTTGAGCCTTGGACAACGGGAAGGAGCCCGCCATCAGAGGACCTGGAGGGACAGCATTCGGGCAGAGAAAAGAACAAATGGAAGGACTCTGAAGTAAGAGTGTGTTGGCTCATGTGAGGAACAGAGGACCTCGAGTGGCAGGTGTGCAGTGAGCGAGACGGAGGCAGTGGGAGACAAGCTGACGAGGGGCGGGGCCCGCCGGTGGTACAGGAGGAAATGAGACAGTTCCCGAGCTCCATGCTCGGAGAGCCTTGTCTTCCATCAAGGATCACAGCGGGGGTTAGTGCTCCCAGAGTTTCTTTTCCATTTTGCTTCTTATTGCTTTTACTAGAAATCTTTACATAGAACCCGACTATCAAAAGGGTTCCTTCCAGATTTATGTTCTGGCCCCTTGCTCTACGGATGTCTCTTCTTAAGTTATCCCATTTCTTAAACATGTGAAAATCTCCCAACAAACCTACCTAAGGAAGTCCAGGGAAATCTGACAGACTTTCTAATGTCAGATGATTGGGATCAAGTCATAGAAGTGGTTCAAAGAACCAGTGAAAGTCAGCCTGAAAAAGAGATAACCCAGTGGGCTGATGATGGTGAGCATCAAATATTTTAAGGACTTTTAAGTAAACGAGGAATAGGACATAGTACAGAGAAACAGATGAAATCGTAGGATGGAGATGTTCTAAATAATTATTTCAACATTAGAATGGGCTGCCTTGTGCAACAGTGATCTCCCTGTTACTAGGAGTATTCAAGAAGAGATTGGATCAAAAGGGCCTGGACTGTGCAGGAGATTCCTGCACTATGTTCTGAGTGGACTCAATCACTTTTACCTCAAGGACTCCCGGCCTTGATGAAATCTATGAATCAGAACAATGTGGATCTTTGCTCTCAAAGATGTTCTTTCTTTTTTCTTCCTTTCTGTTTAGTATTTTTTTAAGTGCAGTCTAATAACCGAGAGACTAGATGATATATTCCTTTAGAAGAAGAATGAAAGGGGATGTTAGGAAAGTTCGTGGTCAACTCCCTAACCATTGAGGAAGGCACCGCAGAGGTCCAGTCTTTTTCTCTGAATGAGGCCTCTGGTGCCTTTGTTAGTGTCAGGACACAGGACCAGATGAATCACTGAGCAAAATGAGGATGTTCGGTTCCCTAAAACAATAGTTGATCTTTTTAGAACTGAGAATAGAAACAGTCTTTTAAAACAGTTTGTAACAATGATATATAAATTAATTTTCATAGTTATTGCAATGGTAATTGACCAGCTACTTTTGATTTTATAATTCATTCAATAATTCCTTCAATTAGTCAGTAAATAATGATTCAAGTCAGTTTCTCTGCTCTTCACAGAACACACATGACAGGGTTTTTGCCCTCGAGGAATTCCCGGGTTGCTGGTTGTTGGGGTGGGGAAACATTGCTATGTGCAATCATTGCCCTCACTGATTTCAGTGATGAAGAATCACTCCACAGATGAGGACAGCAGGTTGAGCGCTCAGGTGGAGAGACACAAATGCAAGGCTCAGAGCCCGCGATAGTACGTAAATGGAGGATGCCACATTCAGGGGGCAGCCGGTAGGTGCCAAGCTGGAGCTTGGAGTTCATGTGGCAGGAGAAAAAGCGTGGGGTGGAGGCGAGCACAGGGTACAAAGGAGGGTCAATGACGGCCTAGACCAGGGTCAGAAGGGCTTGGGATTCCAATAAACATTTTTTCTTCGATAGGAAGCAACTGAAGAACTGCCAGAAAACGATTGTGTTTTAGAAAGACAACTGGAGATGGATAACAAGACGGAACTCGGAGGTGAACTGGAAGGAGGAGATCCTGGAGATAAGGACCAGTCGGAAAGCTGCTTCAGAGATCCTGGATGATAACTACATATCCACACTCGTCCAACCTGAACCTGCATCAGGGAAGAGGCTTAACGCTTTCTGAAGTCCACGTTTATGGAAACAGAACATGATGAATTCTTCACACAAATGTCTGCATTTCTAAGATTCTAGCCTTTTAAAAATAGTAACATTGTAACAAAATTACTGAAAGTAGATCATTGTGATGGTTGAACACTGAAGCTCTAGCTCTATCCTTTTGCCAAGAAACCAATTAACTACCAGCTCTTCGCCTGACATCGTGTCACACGCTTGGCGTGGGTTCCCTGCATGGGCTCCGGGCTGCCATCGAGCTAACGAGCTGAGTTCATATAGCAACCAGGTAGCTTTTCTGGCCACATTGATTACTTACAGAATTGTGCTGGAAGCATTTTCCATTGTTACAGCATTTTTTTGCATTTGCTTTTCTGCTGGTTCTCTAATTTGCTTCTCTTCTCCAAAAACTGCTACAGGTTTCTGCACAGCAAGCTTGGCTCCAGAAACAATGTCACTCTGGACTTCTAAAACAAGAGCTGAGCAGAAATGCAAACATTGCAGGGACACATGAGTTGTGATTGCAGAGAATTAGGAATTTGAAAACACATGATAAAGAAAAACACAGAAAATTTCCAGCTATTTGGTATAAGAAAACAAATTCTAGGAGTAATCGATAGTTGCTCTTTAAACTAATAAGTTGGATTTCACTTGATTTTTGTAGATTCTTTCCTCTCAGGATATTCTTTGTTAAAAGTACTAAAAATAGGTCTGTCCAAAAATACGTAAGTCATTGTAAATTCTAACTATTTAAATGGGCCACAGTCTTTGGATATAGGTCTCTAGAACATTCTCTGGGATCCCAAACTCTTCAGTGAAAGTCCCCCATGCCTTGAGAGACACGTGCAAAGCTTACCATACAGTGCTCAATATACGCAATAGGGTAATTATTTAAATTATACTAATGATTTTTCTCTGGGCCTTTGTGTCCTGGTTCCTGGTGCAGCCTCGAGGGGAGGAGGAAGACCACGAGGAGATGAGAAATGTTACAAAGGAAAGCAGAAGCACAAAGACGTTCTGACATTCAAGCCCAGCATGTTCCCTAAGACAATGGCCACGACCGCGTAAGTCAGGGTGACACCGTCATGAGTGGGGGTTTTTCCAAATGCTGTTAGCTCCCATTTAGCATATCAAGGGTTTAACCTCAGGGTCGACCTGGAGAAAACCCACCATCTCTGGGCCTGAGGGGATTTGAGGGGGAAGACAGAGGGAGGCAGAAAACCAGCACTGGGCATCTGATTTCCCTCAGGCTTCACTTTGGGCATCTTGACTGTAGCAAGGAAACGCTGAGGCACTGTCCATCATTCAGAGCACTGTGACAAGTCACTCCCGAGCTGCCCTCGCCGCTCCAGTCTGAGGCCCAGCCACGTGAACCTGGGTCTTGTTTCTGGGGATGCAGCCGTGACCCAGGATTCACTGAGAGCCATGCTGGGGGGCTGTCCAGAAGGTCTGCCAAGCAGAGGCCAAGGGTCTGTAGCAAAGACGTGCAGAGATGGCTGCCCAGCCACACCCAGGCTGCAGAGGGCCAGAGGGAGCAAGGGGAGGCTGAGGCAGACAGGAAGCACACCCACCCAAAGCATGGTCTGGACCAAAGGAATGGACACCACCACCCAGCCGTGGACCTTAGCTGGCAGGGCCCAGAAAGCAAGAGGATCTGTACCCCAAGTTCTTTCCTTCTATCCTGGAGGGGAACTAAAGCGGGACTCTGGACACTAGGAAACCTGAAAGCCCTCCAAAAGGGACCAGTTAAATTAATGGGTGGGACAAAACCTACACCTGACTGGACAGTTAATGTTTTCCTTGATGGGGTACCTGGGGCTCACAAAGAAGGCCCGATCTGCTAAAGACAACATAAAGAAATTATGTTTTCTTTGCACATCCAAAGTATAGTGGGAATTAAAATACACAACTCTGTTAAATATAAAAATTAAGTTCAAAGAGCTAAACAGCAAGATGCAGGGGTGAAATATGACCTGTTGGATTTTTTTAAAAAAGCAATATCATCAAGTATTTTATTTTGGCTGTACATATTAAGGTAAATAATTCCGGTGCTTACCCTCTGTCTTACGTGTCCTGCAGAAGGTTTGAATTTTGGAAACATCTGATGCCAAGTTCCTCAGGAAGATTTGCCTCTTTTGCTGAGCAATGGATAGCTCAGGACTGATCCAACGTTCTCCACATGAAACATACACCTATCAAGGAAATGAGCGTCTGATCCAGTGTACGCTTGTACACAGCAGCATTACCCGTAACAGCCCAAACTGGAAACAATCAAAACGTCCCACTGGTGAATGGTTAAACAAACTTTGGCACCATGGAATAATACTCAGGGATAAAAAGGCACAAACTACTGACAAACACAACAACTTCCATGGATCTCAAAGTACCTCTCCATACTATCTTTGCAACTTCCTTTGAATCTATAATTATTTCAAAATAAAAAGTTAAAAAAATATATATTTTTCTAAAGAAAAGAAGGAAGGGAGGGAGGGATCGAGGGACGGGGTAGGTAGGTATAAATCGGGGGTTTGCAAACTATGGCTGAGGCCCAGTCTGGCCTGCTGCCTGTTTTTGTGAATGAAGTTTATGGGAACACAGTGATGCCCACTCATTACTCCTCGTCTGTGACTGCTTCTGCGCCACAACAATAGAGCCGATGTTTCAATAGACACCACAGTGTTATAAAGATTTACTATCCGACCCTTCACAGAAACAGTTTGACAACCCCTGGTGTAAATGAACTTGTAGTATATGCACCAAAATGTTAATGTGGCTATTTGTAGATGCTGAGATTATGGGTGATACTTTTTCTTCTACATTTTGCTTAAATGTATTTCTTAAATGTGTTTAAATGAATCTATATTTCTTTGAAGCAAGAAGAAATAGAGTGAGATATTGAGGAAGACTCAGTAAGAAGAAAAAGAAACTCACTGCTGCATTTTATTGAGGCCACTCCCTGATCATTACACATTTTCCTACAGGGAAAACTTTCTCAAAAATGTCTTCTTTTTGAACCACAAGTTTCCTTTTCTCCTATGGACAAACTTAATCACGTAACTGTTGCTGTTTCAACCTTCATGTTGGCCGCTCAGAGCAGGGACAGGTTCATTTCTACATACAGGATCCCGTAACCACAACCACACCTGGGTCCGCCCTCCCCTCTCTTTGCCCTGGTGGCCTCACCCACTTATCTTATAATTAAATTTATCTTTTTGTATCATGTGTTTTAATGCAGTCCACCCTAAATTCTTTCTAAAATAACAATGAATAAGCAAAGCAGCAAAAACAAACAAAAATATTAAAAGCAAACAAAGCAAAAACTTGGAAGTGATAGAATTCAAACAAGATCCACCAGATTCCAAGAGCACAGACTCTCCCTCTGCCCCGCTGCCTCTGATCCTGGTCCCGGGGACCAACCCGCTGCCTCTGATCCTGGTCCCGGGGACCAACCCGCTGCCTCTGATCCTGGTCCCGGGGACCAACCCGCTGCCTCTGATCCTGGTCCTGGGGACCTCGGTGAAGACTCTATCAAGGGGTCTTTACACCCAGAGCCTGAGTCGAGTTCTGATAACACGCTGCAAGCTTGCTTCTCTGCGTAGAGAATCTCAGCATCAATCAAGGCAGGTTTTTTTCCTCAAGCTGACACCTCAAATTGCATAAATGGGAGAAAAAGCAGGGCTGCTCAAGTCCTCCACTTCTCAGCCTTCTCCAGCCACCCCCATAGAGTATGTGAAAAACTAGACATGATTTTTTTTCTGAGAGATGAAATTATCATTAAGTAAGAAATCATTAAACAACTACATTTTAAAGGCCTCAAAAAGAGTTAGAGGATCTACTTCCTTCAGAGTAGGAAGGAATCACAAGTGGTTAATAATTCAGTCTTCCCCATTCCTGCCCTCATCTCTAAAGTGGGAATAAGGAGAGCATCCATCCACAGGGCCGTGATGAGCATTAAGTGAGTTAATTCATGTACAGCCCTGAAAATCACGCCTGACACCCAGTAAGCTCTCAGAGTTAGCTCTGGGTGTTACTTTCTGACGGTTGCTGAGTTGCAGTAATTCTGAGAGAAAATAAGAGGAAAGACAGAAAGCAGAGTCTTATATTTTAAAACTCTTTTCTGTTACTAGTATTCAAGTATTAATATTTCTAGTTCACATCGTGTGTTTACCAGTTCATCTCTCCGAAGGTCTTTCAGGGCAAAGACTTCCTGACCTTCTTCACTGAACAACCTCCGAGCTGCAGAAGGTAAATTTAAAGTCTCAGTGCACCTGTAACAAGAGACACAGCATGGACCTTGCATACAGAGAGCTTCCAGCAGAGAAGAGAGAAAACAAAGAAGTCAGGGCCCGATCATTCATGACCAGTCCCTCTGTGGGACTGTGAGTGAAGAGCCAGGCCCAGGAGCCCATCAGACCCTTGTAGTCTCAATCTCCCTCTCCAAGCTGTGGGACTTGGGCAAATTAGTGCACCTCTCTGAGCCTAAATGACTTACTTCCCAGGGTTGTTGTGAGAATTATGGGTTGATTTTGAGAAACAGTCAGCCCGGTGCCAGGCATGACAGGGAACCTGGCAGACGCACCATCGCACGTTGCCCTCTCCTCACTGTGCCCCCCACTTCCTATTTGTGGGCCTTGGCTCCTCTCTTCCTCCTGCGAGAAACCTCTGCCTCGGCCTTTTCTGTGGAGGTTCTACTCTTCCTCCAAAGTCACACCCATCACCAAGCAGTTCCTCACCCCCCTCCTCCAGAAGGGATCTGTATAGCCCTTTAACTCCCTTTGAAGTAGGAACTTTTGCCTGGTTAGACATTAAACAGTGATTATTTTCCCAAATGAGCACTGGGCCGACCCTGTGGATACTGAGATGAATGATGCAGTCTCCCTGTTCCCTGAGGTGCAACCTCTCCAGTCAGGCGGAGAGACAGGGCAGCAACCTGGGGAACATGAAGCAGTGGGTGCTGTTATAGGCACCTTGCCAGGATCCTGAGAGAACACAGAGGAAAAATAATGAATTCCTCCAGGGAAGCCTTATCGAAGGAAGCAACATCTGGGCTGGGCCTTGATGGATGAATAGGAGTTCCTCAAGAAGAGTTGGGACCCAGAGAAGTTTTGTATGGCTGGAGCTGAGTGTATGGACAGGAGGAGGAGCCAGGTGAAGCTGGAGAAGAAGCCACGAACCAGCTGAAAGCACTTAGGATATTAGACTAATGACCATGGCCTCTGCCCGTAAACGGACGGAAGTCACTGAAGGTATTAGAGCACAGGTGTGCTGTTATCAGAGCTGCTCTTTAGGAAGTTAACTGTCAGAAAGCTGGAAGATGGGCTGAAGGTGGGAAAGGCTGACGTCTGTCTAGCCAGTTAGGACAGAGACACAGAGGTAGGATCGTGGGAGAGGAAGTAGAGCCAGAGGAGATGATGGAGCATTTCCTGAAGAACGCTGTTGAGAGGACCCTGCCATCGGGTGAGCACAAGTGAAAGATTCTTGCTAAGTACACTTTATATTAGAATCTACTGTCTATAGCAAATGAATTAGAAGTGACTTTATGCTCATCAGGAAGACTCGGCTGATGAAGAATATTTCTCCATTTTATGACCTTAGATGAGATAAAGCAATTGAACAGATAATTCAGCCCTCCATTTCTCTGAGGGGTCTTAGAAGGAAATAAGCCAGTGGGAAAATCTCTGCTTCTCAAGTCACAGCTCTGGAGGCTGAAGGGCCAGTGAGGCCTGGGCCACGTCAGGCATTCATGGGAGGGGAGTGGGAGGGAACTGTGAGAGGATTGAGCCCCAGTCACAAGATGTGCCTGATTCTCTTTGGGTGCTGCCCAAGACCCAACCCAATTCCTTCTACTTTCCCCAAATCTACATCTTTACAAGTCCAAGCATTTACAGCAGGACCTGAGAAGAGTTACCATCATCATTATCTGCCCCCACACAAATTTTCCTGGGAGAATGTCTGGCCTATGGGAGTGTCCTGTTTTAGGACAACAGGTGAGAGAACAGAAGGAATGGCTGGTTGATGAATCTTTCTTCCTTCCTTTTTAGAAACTCTAGTTTTAAAAGTGCCAAATTCGACTGGCCCATGGAGGTGGGTTGGAGAGGATTGGGATAAGCTGTTTCCTCTGTATTTAATTCCTCTACCTAGTTCACACGCCAGGCAATGTAAATGGGGAGGGGAGAGAGAAGAACTGGCTCTCAGGTCCCTAACAAGGACTGTGGAGTCTGGAGTCAGATTGCCTGGGTTCACAGGCCAGCCCTCTCATGGACCGGCCGCATAACCCTGGAGAAGTTACTTAGCTTCTCTGAGCCTCATTTGCCCCATCAGTGAAAGACAGATACAGCAGTACTTAGCTTACAGGGCTATCGTACAGATGAAATGTCGGCGTACCTGCAGGGTGCCTGGCACACAAAGAATCAGCCACACTTTGTTAAAACGGACCAAGCACTGCAAGCACAGCACTTCACGTCTGCTCCTTCACCTACTTCTCATGCCATTTCTGAGAGGCCCATTGTACTGATGAGGAGACAGCCTGGAGGTCAAGTTCCTTGCCCAGGTCACGTAACTGCTTAGCAGGAGAGCTGAAGTTCAAACCTGAATCTCTCTGGGTCTGTTACTACATCCCATGGCCTCCTGAGAGGGCATCATCACAGAATAATGAGATATTAGATCTACAAAGGGAGGAGACTGCGGCTGAGATGCTGAGAGAGCAGTTCAGGATTCCTCTGTCACGTGGAGCCCAAGGCCCTAGAAGTCAAGTCCTGTGACGCTCACAGCAGGAGTCAGGGCGGGGACACACAGCTGCTTGGGTTCACAGAGTCCAGAAAAGCAGGGTCTTCTCTCCGACGTTGCTTTCTCAGGACTGGAGTGGAGGAGCGACAGGTGGAGCTGGTTCCCTGAGGACGCGTTTCTATACCACCCAGGACGCCCTGCGAGAGAAGGCGGGAGCTGTGTCTCCCGGTCCCCAGACAGCCACAGCTCTGCAATCGCGGAGCCTTCACTCTCCAATCACTCACCAGGACGCCCCTCCCAGGAGCCCACTACATGCTTCCAGTTTATTCCAAAACAGTAACAGAACCCACGAGAAGCTATGGGAACCTGCTTGCTTCTCTCTTTGTATCTTTCTTCTTCCTGCGTTTATCTCTATTTTTGCATCTCTCTCATTTTCTCTCCTCTCCACGTGGCCTTCCCTGACAGTTGCCCTCACAAGGTTCTCTCTCCCTCCTGGTTATACATGAAATGATCCCTTGATCATTTGCACTTCTGTACAATTAAATACTGCCCTGGGTGGCTTTCTGCCTGTTTCAATAAGCAAACTGTCTTCCCAACAAGCTAGGAGTTTCCTGAGAGCAAGGAAGGTCTCGCCTTTTTTTTTTTTAAATCTCCTGCAGAACATCCAACACTGGTTGATGCCCATGATACGAACACAACAGATACTGAAAAGAATCCAGTTCCTTCTTCCCTTCTTCTTACTCTTCATCCAACTCTCCCATTCCACAAGGAGGAAAATGAGACTCAGAGAAGGGCAGTGCTTTGCTGAAGTTTTCGGGCCTGTTACTGGCAAACCTGAGGTTAACTCAAATCCAGTGGTCTTTCCAGTACTCCATGTTGCCTGCAACTTTGGGGATCAACAAAAACGTTCTGTATCTAATACTTTTAAATGGGGCTTATTATGCTATTAGATCTTCTTTTGGCTTTGTAGATGGAAGGACCAACATCAACAAAAAAAGACTCTTAAAACTGTCTGGCGTGAATTATTAAATAACTAAAGGATGGTATAATTTCCCTTAATTTCTGTAAGACTGCCACCTCATATTCAACAAGATATATTTTGCAAAAAAGTTTAGGCCAGATGCTCTACTTTGAACAGTTATCAAATTCCATGGGAATAATTTTTGTTTTGGAAGGAGAATACTGATCAAAAGAAAAATTACAACATATTTCACAAATAAGATACAGGTTAGTAACATTTAAACATTGGTTTAAAGTAGATCACTGCCCAGCCCTCAGTTCAAACAAATATAAACTAAAGAAAAGTCCTGTAAAATTGTGAAATATATTTGTAAAAATGGGAATACTTTATATTTACAGAGTTGGTAGTTCAGAAGCTAGGGGCAATTGCCTTCAAATTTTGGGAAAAAATGTATTAATTAGCATTGGTTTCATGGACTCACATAGTTGACATACTTCACAGATTAAAAACTCCAGAAACGTTACATTAACAACTCTTTTCTTATGTAGGTACATATGTATTTTGTGTTATGCGTTATACATAGTCATTCAGGCACGTGAGTGGAAAACACCTCTGCATTAGGACAGTAAGTACTTACCTCTCCAAAAGCTGGTGAAATTTAGTCTGCTTTGTTTCTGTTTCAGAATATTTAGTGACACAGTTTTTCACATTCTCTTTCCTTTCGGTGTCAACCTTTCTGAAACAAATGATCCAAGATTTGATTGATATGTCAGTATATATGGTCAATTATCTTTCAATTGTTTAAAGATGTGAAAAAATTATGAGATTTTAATTTATCATGATTCTCCCCAAAACAATCTGCCTTTCTTAAAAAAAAATAGGCTTTCAAAAACTATCACGATTAAATATTAAACTTTACAAACATTTATACTATGAGCAATTTACATAAGAAATTTTCAATATTTTAATCCTCTTCTATGAATGCTGAGCACTCTGAGATGTAAATTTATGAACTTCGAAGAAAATGCAGAGATTACATTCACTTCACCTGTGATGTTTTATTCATATATTGTTCATATTCATATGTTTATTCATATATCATTCATATATTGTTTAGGTTGTTAATCCAAACCTAAAAATTATTAAACTGAAGAATGAACAATGACGATCATAGAAAAAGGATGCTTAATGGAATAGACATCTCTTCAAATTTTCAAGTTAGAAAACTGTTCTGTGTATTTCTAGAATCTCTATATTTTATTAAATGAAAGAAATAGTCGTCAAATATAGTTGTTAGTTCGTTCATTCATTCGAAGTGGTAATCAGATATAGTTCATCATTCATTCATTCATTCATTCATTCAGTAAGCACTGATTTAGGGCCTACTGTGGTTCCTAAATCATGTGGTGCATGACCTAACACTCGATTAACTGGGATGCACCGTCCCTGACATTCCACAGCAGACAGCACAGACATGGGGAACAACACGTCACCCCTGCGCTCTGTCTCCTGGTTGGAGACAGAAGCAGATAATCAAAGGCAGAGTGGTGGGGGCTGTGGTGGTGGAAAGCCCACAGTGACCAGAGCAAGTGAGGGCACAGAAGCCACAGCCAGCTCGGGAGTGGGGAGGGAAATGTGGAGTTCAGAGTCACATCTAGAAATAAAGTACAGACTCATTCTCTCGACTAATTGACAGGATCTTGTTACCCACTAAGATAATGATCAACTAAGTCATGATCAAATGCTGTTTGATCTTCCTTTGGCTTTGTAGATGGAGGAACCAACAACAACAAAGGCTCCTCAAAACTGCCTAGAATGAATTATTCAATAACTAAAGGAGAGCATGCTACAGAGCAGGATTTGGTTAAAATGGATGTATATTTTATCATTCTAGCGTGATTTTGCCTGTAAAGACACTACCTAGCACAACCCTCTTTCTTCTTATAAATAAGTTTCAGGTTAATGCAGGTACTGTAGCCCTATATGTCATTAGCATTTACTTCTTCTGGAAGAGAAGATATTTAACTTGGATACATTAAAACAGCACAGCAGGGCTTCCACCATGCACAACTCTGCGATGCCATTCCTACAGAACACGATGTGAACAGTGCTTTCTGGAGCTGGGCAACACAGCGCCCTGTAACGTCAGCCGAAACTTTTTCCATTTAACCCTCTGTTACCAGGGCTTACATAAAGCTCTGGGGGAAAAAATGCTATTGACCTTGTAGAAAACTTTCTGAATCAGCCAAGAAAAATTAAACTATATTTAGTAGGGTTTTAGCATCCAGCGTATCCAGTGTATTTTAATTATCTGGGAATAATTAATTCATGTAGTGAACAAAGTGAATATCTCATGAACCAGGACACACCACTCCAGTGGCACAGACCCCGGGAGACTTCCACACACACTCTGATAGAACAGTTGTCCAAATTAACAAAGCCCTCAAACTACATTTGGATCACCTGATTGAACCATGCATTTTAAAACATTAATGTGAAAAGATAAAATCTGTACATAATTTTGAGCCACAAAGATACAGACTAAGAAAAAAATAAATGTAGGAAGGGACAGAAATTATTTGCTAACTTTGGATATTAAAAAAAATTCATATTCTACTTTAAGGGCCCTCACATTTTACACCTAGCAGAATGAGCTAATTACGAAATGTATGTGTCAAAGATCTCAATTTCAGGCTTGACTTTACTTTGAAGATTAATTTTTTACTTTATCATCTTTACAGGCAGTTCAGTGGACAGCCCATCTGAATGTTACTCCTTGTTCAGCGATGTATGAAGTATATTTAATCAACGTGAAGAAAGTAATATTAAACTGTTATCAGCAGCCTCAAATATTCTAAACATCTCAAAAGAAAGGTCAAGAGGTAATATCACTGCTAATAATATGAGAAACAATGTGTTTAACTCATTCTTTACATCAGAGCTTTGCACTGATCTATGATTCCTTTTGTCATAAAATGTAATGAAAACATAGCAGGTGATTTTTCTCCAAAGTTGGAGAAATATTGGCTGTTTGGGAAGATTTTATCCCAATCTTATAACATAAGCTATAGTGCAGATTGATGCTTTTCTAGGATAAGCTTTTAAAATGTTATTTCAAGCCAAGGATATAAATTATATAAAGTTATATTTTGAGAACTATATTTATTCATTAAATATGCCAAAGATCTCAATGTAAATAATTGTACATAATAATAACTTCAAAAAGGAATTACAAAATTATATTTAAGAAGCAATTTATGAGCTCAGTTATATCAAAATACATTAATAAAACTCAAACAAAAATGCCAATTCAAAAGAGACATTGACCATAAAACTTTTTTTAATCAGAACTACTCATTTCCAACTCATTACTTTTCCCATGCTTACCCTAAATCAGCAGAATTCAAATTAAGTTGCTGACATAGAAACTAAATGAATCTTACTATCTATTTCATCTCCAAATATCAATATGAGAGCTCTTTTTAAAAAATAAACACAGAATTCTCCCAGAAAAACATCTTTAATCAAGAAGACAAAAATCTGTAGAAATTAGAGAGTGTATTTAATGAAAAACATGAGCAAGTCGTTCTTACTGCATTTTCCGCCCAGGTGAGATGTCTGGACTGGTTACAATAAGGGCTCTGTTTTTATTCTTGTCTCCATTCCGCAAAACTCTGAGTCTCAAGGGCACGCATGGCTCCGGTGTCTTCCAGATGGGTTTCTTCAGGGGAGGGCTGTTTGGAACAAGCAGTCCTTCTATTGGCCAATCAAACTCCTTCAGAAAGAAGTGGCAAAAAATTGATAGTAAATAAGTAAGAAGAGTCATTTCTAGAAATAAAAAATAAACTAATAGATACATAAAAACTAATAGATATAAAGATATAAAACTCACTGCTTATCCCTTTCATCTTTCATTCATTCATCAAATATGTATTGGGCCCCTAAGATGTTCCAGACAATTCTAATTACTGTTTTATTTGAATAAAGAGGAAAGATAGTAATTTTTTGAAAGTATGTAAAACTTGTGTTATTTTACAACATGGAAGATTTGTTCCCTTTCAGAGAAATATCATTCTATAAAAATAGAACTGGATGAACTTGGAATGTTTTTTGCTCTTGAGTGAAATACCTTTAATCAATATGAAGAAAGGAAGAATGCGTGAAAAGCGGTTTTACAACCTGAAATAATATTCTCTTAAACTAAATCTATTTGACAAAGAAGAATATATTTGGCGAACACTCCAAAAAACAGAGTGAGATGATAAACAAATTTCAGATGTTTCAGTTGTAGAATTCAGTTACTTTATATCTATTCATTTATTTATTAATTCATGCATTATCTAAATATCTATTAATTGTTTACTATACTCCAGACACAGTGCTAAACACTGGAAATAAAAGTATGAACAAGACAGGATACTTTTCCTCAAGGAATTTCTAGCAAATGCTCAGAAACTTACCTGAAAATACAGTGGCAATTACAATAGCATAAGTCTAACAGCAACAGGGTACGAGGTGTGATGGGACCACATAGGACCAGAACCTAACTCAGAAATGCCGTGTAACAGAACTGCAGCCATGGTAGGAATTGGTGCAGTACGGGACGGGTAACAGGATGGGGCAGTGTTTGTACCAGACTTGGCGATTAACAGAACACGACGTCTGGGGATAAAGGAAGCAAGGATGTCTCCCAGGTTTGTAGCTTCTCCCAGGTATTGCTATTCACAGAAACAGACATTTGTGGAAGACGAGTAAGTGAGGGCAGGGGTGATCAGAGACGATGCTGTGAGGCAAGGTCCCAGCTCTGTCTTTTTTTCTATCTGCATAAACAATTGTTCTGACAGCATTTAATTCCCCATTAATCGGCAGTAACCATCCTGTAAAATATCACAATCCCATGTAAGCGTGGGTCTGTTTCTGTGTGTTCTGGTCTCTTCAATTCGTCAGTTTCTCTGTCTCTGTACAGGACCAGACTGCCTCGTGTACACTTGCTAAGTCTTGACTTTGGGTAGGGCAAGTACCTCCACCTTGTTATCCTTCTTTGGAAATTGGCTCTCGTTGGCCTTTGGCTATTTCGTATATATTTAAAAGTCAACTGGGTTAGTTTTTTTTAAGTCTGTTTGGGATATAAACACTCTGTAGCAAGTGAAGTAATTTTCTATCAATTCCATTTTGGTAAGTTTTTTTTCTTGTATGTGTGTTGAATCATGTAAAGCTCCTTTTCCTGCATTTATTGAGATGTGCTTACATGATTATTTATCCTTTCATCAGCTATGTGTTAATTACATTAATCAATTTTTTAAAATTTAAACCAATCTTGCATTCCAGATCAATCCAAATTGGTCACAATGTATTATCTTTTTTAATAGATTGCCGAATTGAATTTACTAATGTTTTCTTTAGGATTTGTACATGTCCATTCATAAATGAAATTAATGTGTAATTTTCTCTCTTTTTTTAAAAAATAATTACCTTCCGAAGTAAATATCTTTTCTTTTCTTTTTTTCTGCTGGGAAAGAATCCCCCTGAGCTAACATCTGTTGCCAATCTTCCTCTCTCTCTCTTTTTTGTCCTCCCCAAAGCCCCAGTACCTAGTTGTATATCCTAGCTGTAAGTCCTAGTTCTTCTACGTGAGCCGCCACCACAGCATGGCCGCCGACAAATGGTAGGTCCAAGCCCGGGAACCGAACCCGGGCCACCAAAGCGGAGCACACCAAACTTTAACTGCTGGGCCATCAGGGCTGGCTCCATGTGTAATTTTCTTATACTGTCCTTGTCAATGTTTGGTATCAAGTTTATCCTAGCCTCATGAAGTGAGTTAGGAAGTGTTGCTTGTTCTGTAATCATCTGAAATACTTATTCCTTCCATGTTTGGAAGAATTTGCCAGTGAAACTCTTTGGTCATGGTGTTCTCTTTGTGGGGAGATTTTAACTACTGCTTCTATTTCTTCTCTGATTATTGCACTATTCAGGCTTTCCATTTCTTCTTGACTCCGTTCTGTTAAATTACTTTTGTCCAAGCATTTGACCATTTTATTTATTTATGTTATAATATGTATTACCATTACATTACTTATAATACCCTTTTATTATTTTATTAATCTCTCAGCATCTATATTTATATCTTTCTTTTATTCCTAATATTATTTACCTTTACTCTTTTTTTGTTAATTAGTTTGGCCAGGTAAATCCATTTTATTAATACTTTAAAAGAAGAGCCAATTTTTGACATGTTGATTCTGTTTTATATGTATCATGTATTGTATCGATTTCTCATCTAATTTACCATTTCCTTCCTTCTAATTCATTGAGCGCATTCTGCTGTTATTTTTCTAACTTCCCAGGTTGGATGCTTATCTCATTAATTTTTAGCTCCTCTCCTTTTTCAATATAAGTATTTAAGGTCACAAATTTCCCTCAAGTGCATTTTAGGTGCATCCTGCACATTTTACTTTGGTTCTAAATATTTCTTTTTGAAATTTTCATGATGATTTCTTCATTGCCCTATGAGTTAGTTAAAATAGCTTTTAAAATTTCCCAGTATAGGGCCTCTACATCTGCTGGCATGTAGACCAATAAGACCAAGACATGTGGCCTTTAGTTTATGGAAGGAGAACATTATTAAAAAGCTAGTACAATAAGTAATAATTTACTAGCTTATATCCCCTCGAAAAATCGTTAAACACTTGCAATTATACTGAACAATCACAAAGTTCAGGAAAATGTGTTTTAAATAAATTATAAACATTATCTGAAAGTTGTGTAGATCAAATATTCTGAAATGGCATCTAATTATAATGCTCTCATTTGTTTTTGAGATGACTGAGTAAATAACACTAATTGCATTTAATTAAGAGAAAAGCAGTATAAATAAATGTTTAAAAATCTCATGATGTTTTTCAGTCTAATGTTTTTTCCTTTATTTTTTAATATAATATTTTGCTTAGTAAATGTGTTCATAACAGTGACATACAATGAGGCTAACATCACACTTCTAAAAAAGAGAAATTTGAATTAATGAAGTTTTATTGTACTCCTGACCTTCACTGAGAACCGGTATGGAATTTAAATTATAAAGGGCAGACTATCAAGTGTTTATCTGGATATGTGTCTATTATTACGAATGGAGCAACATGGGGTCACTTTTTCTTACTACTGTTACTGAGAAGAAATACCAAAGGTTAGGACAAACTAATTGTATATTTTCATCGGAAACCCTCCTATTGCATAAAGGTTTTACTTAACATGCGAAGTGGTGGAGGAGTGGATCGCATAACTTCTTCAAGAAGTAAGTTCGGGATTGATCTGTAACTCTCATACAACAAAGAAATTAAGCAATTCAGAGCAAATCAACATTTGCACTAGTTTTAGACATAAACTATCATGAAGCAAGAGTGGGAGAGACGGAGGAGAACAGTCTTCGCATTACAAAATTACTGTCACATTGAAGTCTTGGTGTAAAATAGCTAATCTTTCTCCCTTTCTGTCTTTCTGAACCATGGAAGGGAAAGCCAAGAGACATAGGATTCTCCCTTGAGCTTAGTCCGTGCGAACTGTCAGCTCACAGTTAGGATGTGAAACTAAGATTTTTTTTTCAATATTCCAAGCATGCTAGAATTCTGATGAACTTGTCTGAAATGTGCTATCTCAGCTCCTAGTTATTTTTAGATCCTTCCACTCCCTAAACATGTCCCATGACGAGTGGTAACCACTGCAGATGTGGCTTGAGCACCCCGGGAGCACTGCTGGCTTCAGGAGGCTTCCTTTGCTTTCCAGTTAGGTGACAGAAGCCCAGGAGTCTTCTTTTTTTTAATATGAGACATCACAGAAACCCAACCAAAGAGATGAAGAATTTCCATGGGTTTCAAAACTTTTTCCAAATGTGTGAGCTTTCCCTGGCAGCTCTTCCTTTAAGGGATATATATATTTTTTTTTGGTGAGGAAGATCAGCCCTGAGCTAACGTCTGCCAATCCTCCTCTTTTTGCTGAGGAAGACTGGCCCTGGGCTAACATCCGTGCACATCTTCCTCCACTTTACATGGGAGGCTGCCACAGCACGGCTCTCCAAGCGGTGCATCAGTGCGCGCCTGGGATCATGAACCGGTGAACTCCGGGCTGCCACAGCGGAGCGCACGCACTTAACCGCTTGCGCCACCCGGCCGGCCCCACCCTTTAAGGGATTTTAAACCTTGTTCTAACGTTTCAGGCACTTTCACTTTGTCCTTCATAGAAAGAGAAATATGGCGCCAGGATAATGAAGGACAAAACACCCGTGGATTAAGCTGGCTGGAGAGCCGTTTCCTCCCCTCCACTCTCCCCTTTGGGATTCCAGGTTCCACTGGTTTCTTTGTTGGTTTTCTCTGTGTCCAGCTCCTCCAAGCACAGCCACACTGTCAAGAGACCTTTGAGGGGCCGGTTCCTGACACTGATGATTCTGCTTTCCTTTTTCTCCTCTCTCTCCTAAACAGTGATCTAAATTTCTTAGTGAAATTGGCCCACCTTCATCTATTTATTATTAATAAACTAACAGATTCTTCAATTTTCTCTCTTGGGTCTTCCTAACTTTCCTTTTTTTTCCCTTTATACTGACAGCTAATTATCATCATTTCTTAACAGATTCATAAAATGTGCGCTTTTAACTTTCTTTTAACATGGGCCCCTCCAAATAGATATATTTTCATTTGGTAACTTAGAAATTTTAAAATCACTATCCAGTGGCTCATTCCAAAATCTTAAGTCTCTTCAGACTCACTTTTTGCACTGATTTCATCCTTGAATATGAAAATCCATTGCTCCTTACCTTTAAGTGTTTACAACTACAACTTCTCAATTTACAACTTTTCCCCCAGGGAGTAAGAAAATAACTTGAGTTCCTAGAAATTATTCCAGTGAACTTAGTCACAGAATAAACTAAAATAATTCATTAATCTTTTGTTTTTAGAAAGTTTTAACATATTTTTAAAATACCGATATCCTAAGATACATGAAATTCTATTTGCTCCTAAGACATAGTATCAATTGCCTTTTAGGATGAACAATATTTTACAGTAAGAACAGCATGAAATCAGTTCTAAGAGCAGCTGTCACCACTGAGAGGTAAATAGTTTGGTATTAATGCAGTCTGGGTCACCCCAAAAATAATTCACATTGTCCGTATTTCCCTAAATCTTCCCTTGGTCATCAGTTTATTTTGAAAGTTTCTTGTCAAGGAATTTTAGCAGGAGAATTTGAGTCTCACTCAGGATAGTGTTTCTTAGACGGTTTTCCTAGACTCAATCTTTTGACTTAATTTTCAGGCCCTTTCAGACAATCGGCCTGGCTCACTTTCCTCATGCGGCCGTGTGACTGAACAAGCTGGCTCAGCAACAGCCTTGGTTTCTGGGCACCAAACTTTCCCTGTGAGTTTCTTCTTTCTCCCTTCTTTGTCCTTCTTCATCAAGTCTGCCTCCTTCTTTTCTGGTTCCTTCCTTTTTGACACACAGCCTATACCTCTTAAACTGTGACCTCCATGAAGGTAGGAACCATGTCGATCTCCTTCTTTGCTCTGTCTGCATTGACTAAATAGACAATAAATAACGGTTAGATAAGTAGTGAGGCTGGAAGATTAAATCTGGAATAAAGTTAGCACATATATTCTTACAGTGACCAAAGTGTTCTGAATCCTACAATATGAATGTCACACTTCCTAGTCGCAGTTTATTTATATGGCAAGTCTTTCCAAACAAAATGTTAATTGCATTTAATTATACACTGACAAAATCATCCTTTTGCTTAAAAAATTAATTATGTGGAAATGGGACTGGAGAAAAATATTGTTCCATCAGATAAGAAGGATCCAGACTTCAAGTAAAACAAATTGCATTTAATTTGAATAAGAACTATCTGAATTCCCTGCTTGGTAAGTATTTTCTTCTCTTCCTCAAACATTTCAAGAAATAGCAGGACCCTCAGGCTGAGTCATTCTGAAATGTATAGTCAATTTGTCTCACTTTAGCTAATTTAGTGCCTTACTCCTTTCCCTTCAGTTTACAAGTGAGGGCCAGACTTTTGTTGAAGTATAGTGACTTCTCCACTCCACCCAAAAGTTACTGGGCCGTTTGAATGGCTGGAGAACTTTGAAGTAGTCCATTTTCATTCCTAAGATCATTTAGCTGTCACATCCCAGACTATTAGAAAAATGTTATTTTTTTAAGGTAAATGTTAAAAGGAACCTGGTTAAATTAGGTTTCCTAATGAAAGTACCATTCATCATTTAAATCAATGAATTAATTAACTGAATTACTTTACTTGTATACTGAGGTTAAAAAATTGTAAGCACAATATCTGTGAAATTTGCAATAGTCACAGTTTTCTCTCTTTCCTGATATGAGAAAGTACACTTCCTTACCAGGCATCCCTGTCCACCCCCATCCCATTAGGTGGGTACGAAACTTGATATTCCAGTTCAAGGTGTCCCAGTTTCTGTCAATTTGGAAAAGCCTTTTTTGTTTATTTTTTAGCTCTGTGCTTTCGGATACATATTCAATTGAATTGAAGGTTCAAACTTCTTACCAGAACTGCTGTTTCCTTTCAAGGATATACCCCTCCTTTCCCCTTCCCCAACGTGGTTTCTGGGTGTAGATGAAAGTTCAATGAACCGTATACCACCGAGAAAGGGGTCCAGGGTCTATACTGTGGGTACTCGTCCTCGATCCTCAGAGACCCCTAAGGATACGCCTCTTGTCCTCTTTAGCCACTGGGCAACTGCTGGCACTTGCTCACCACCAGTTGAGGAGAAAGTTATCCTTCATGCTCTCTGGGTTTCAGCCTCTGCCCTTCCTGAACCTCTGAAGAAAAATCTACAATTAGTACAATTCATGGTTTTTCTCTTGGCCTATTGGTCTCTCTGTGCCACCCCTCCAGCCTTGGCTCCACGTTGTCTCTCAATACTGCTGCAAACCCTGAGTCTGAGATCATAACTCATCTAGCCACTGGCTCAGGCCACCCAACCCACAGCCTCTGGTGTTTTGAAGAACTCCTTCCTCTCTCAACAAAGGTCAGCTTTCTAGATTGTTGCTTCACTACAGTCTAAATATAAGAGCATCTTTAGGGGCCAGCCCCATGTCTTAGCGGTTAAGTGTGTGCGCTCTTCTACTGGCGGCCCGGGTTTCGGATCCCGGGCGCACACCGACACACCACTTCTCCAGCCATGCTGTGGCGGCGTCCCACATACAGCAACTAGAAGGATGTGCAACTATGACATACAACTATCTACTGGGGCTTTGGGGGAAAAAAAGGAGGAGTGTTGGCAATAGATATTAGCTCAGAGCCGGTCTTCCTCAGCAAAAAGAGGAGGATTAGCATGGACGTTAGTTCCTGATCTTCCTCACACACACAAAAAAAAGAGCATCTTTGGGGCCCTGAGCAATGACTTCTTAGTTTCAGATCCCATCCTTACTTCCCTTACAGCAGTGAGCCTCATTGATTCAATCAGTGAGGAGGCACAGGGAATTGTGATTTAAGGAGAAAGAAAAACTTGGTTGAGACCAGAAAATATGATAAAACAACTTAAAAAAATCAGGATAAAATATTTTTTAAAAATCTTTTAGAACATATCATTGGCCTAGCAATAAAGCAAGACAGCCTAGAGACCCAGAGAGGTAAACACAGGGCTGCAGCTGGGTTTTCTCTCAAAGGTGAATGCTAAAGGAAACCTGGTTAACTTGAGGGAATTTTCCAAACCCCAGTGAACTGCTGCTTCCACGGTCTTGCAGGGGACAAATTTCAGAGCTGAGCCTAGGTGGGAAGTCTGAAAGGAGATCCTCTCCTCTCATAAAACAAGAATCACAATAGGATAAATTTCGTTGCAAAGGCAATCCAGAGAGATACCTCTCCAGGTGGTTGCAAGTAAAACAGACATCAAACATTTTCTCTGTGTGGAAGAGAAAAATAATCTTCATTGTGAATTCATACCACAGGCTGACCCACCCCTGGAGTTTAAATAGACAAATATGAAGAGAAAATTAGTAATCTGAAAGAAAAATATCTGAAAATATGAAGCAAAAATGCATCAGAAGGAGGCAAAGAAATGGAAAATATGAAAGAGAAGTTAAGAGACAAGAGGTCAAAATGGGAAGGTCTAGCATACACCTAATCAGAGTTTTCTATAAAGAATGGAGGGGGGATACAGGAGGGAGAATATTTGATGAGACAATGGGTGATTATTTTCCACAAATGATACAAGACATCAATCCACAGATTCAAGAACCCCAAGCAGAAAAAACAAAAAGAAATCCTCTCTCAGACAGAATATGGTGAAACTGAAGAATACTAAAGAAAAGAGAAGATTCTAAAAGCAGTCAAGGAGAAAAGATAGATTACCTTCAAAGGGATATTAGAACGATAGCCCACTCCTCAGCAACGACAATAAGGGCAGATGTCAGAGCATCCCTGACATCTTCACTTGCTAAGTATAAAGACCTTCTGTGAATGAGGGCAAAACACAGACGTTTCCAGAGAAGTAAAAACTGACTTTGCTACCAGTAGCTGACAGAAGAGTGTGCTGGGCAAAGGAAAGTAACCCCAGTCAGAAGGACCGTGATGTAAGAAGGATTTATAAGGAGAAAGAGGAAAAATTGGGGGTAAATCTAAATAAATATTAACTACATACAACAATGTTAATATCTTGTGGAAATTTTTACAAAGATAAAATTAAAATACATGACAACAAAAGTGTATAAGTTGCAAATCAAATGAATCAAGGTAAAGTATTCTAATCTTCTCAATTATCTGAGAGAAGAGTAAATGTATCTGTTAACTTCAGATTTTGATCATTTACACATGTAAGCTAAAATGTTCAGAGTAACACCCACAACAGAAGAATGGAAATAGAGGATACAATTTCAAAACCAGTAGATGAGAAAACTGTGAGGAAAAAAACACTCTGAAAGAATATAAGAATGGAGAAAAAATAAAACAGAGAAAAAACAAAACAAATAAAAAGCAAATAACAATCAAAATATGTCTGTTATTACAATAAATAGAAAAGACCAAATCTTTTAGTTTAGAGAGAAAGATTGTCAGACCATATTCTAAAATTAACTAGATGCTGATTACTGGAGACCCCCCTAAAAGAGAAGAATATACAAATATAGAAAGTAAAAGGATAGAAAGAAGATATACGAGGCAAATAACCAAAAAAAGCTATTTCAATTAGTATTAGATAATTGAGACTTCTACGGGAGCTAGAGAGAGTCTACATAATGATAAAGGTTTCAATTCACCAATTATAAAGATATAACATTTTTGAACATGTGTGTCTATGATCTAAATTTCAAAACACATAAAGTAACATTTGACAGACTACAAGAAGAAATAGATAAATTAATCTCCATAATGGAAGACTTAAATGCATTCTCCCTAATTAATTGATTGAACAACAGAATTAATTGATCTCTCACACCTAACGACTGCAAATCAAAACCTGCAGGGGATTCTCATAAGCAGTGACCACGTCCTGGGCCTGAAGATAAGTCTCAACAATCACGTCTTATACCAAGCGATACCACCTCATTAAGTCGGCCGCTGGGAAGGACCGGCCACATGTAGGTGAGCTTATTCCAGAGAGGATTTTCAACTCTGGAATGTTTCCACTGGCCTGGCTTACTGTTCCCTTCATGCTTTATGGCCCACCTAAAACAAAATAAAAGACAGAAAGGGATTTAGCAAGGTTAAATATCACTCCAAAATATTCATTGAGCACTTCTCTTGAACTAGGTAAAGACTCAATGTGAATTAAAAATCCAAATCTGATAACTTACTGTGCACAAGAGACACAAATGAAAGTATTCTTAAAATGAAAAAATAAAAATTTAAAAATCAGGAAAAACTGGAGATGTAATAATTGAAAGTGGAACTTGAGGCAAAAGGCAAAGTAGAATAACAGTCATTTTATAACAACAATGACTTACACAACAATAAACAGAAAAAAATCAAGCAAAACTTTTTAGACATTCAAAGAGATGTAGATATAATTATTATGGGAGACATCATCACATGAATGATAAATTATGAACTACCAGGTAAATTTTTTTGTTTTTTGTTTTTTTGAGGAAGATTAGCCCTAAGCTAACATCTGTTGCCATTCCTCCTCTTTTTTTTTTTTTTTTTTTTTTTTGCTGAGAAAGACTGGCCCTAGACTAACATCCGTGCCCATGTTCCTCTACTTTATATGGGACACTGCCACAGCACGGCTTGATAAGCGGTGCATCAGTCCACGCCCGGGATCCGAACCTGCGAACCCCGGGCCACCGAAGCAGAGCACGTGAACTTAACTGCTACACCACTGGGCTGGCCCCCCAGGTAAATGTTTTTAAGTAATAAATAAGGACATAAAATATCTGACTGCTATAACTAATAAATGTAATATGACCATTTATTTATATACACTGCAATCTTTCTCAACAATTCTTGGAACATTTGTAATATGTGCCACATACTAACAAAATAAACTTCAATACAGTTTTAAAATGAAAATTGAACAAGCCACACTTTGTGGCAAATGAAAGAATAAAATTAAATATAAATGAAAGTTTGATTTTATAATTTCAACCACAAGATAATTTTAAAAACAGTCTCTCTCCCAAAATACCATTATACCAGTTAGGGGAAAAAAATAGCATGATCAATACCTATTTAGAAAGCAACAAAAATAATAATGATGAAAATTTAAAGGATACATCTAGAATTATATTCAAAGGTAAATTCATAATGTTAAATGCTTATTTAATAAGAGCTAAATAGAGAAGGGAAATTAAAAAAGCATTCAACTCAATAATTTATTTCAAATATATATATAATATATATATTTGTCCCATGGAAAAAAGATGAAGGAAATAATAAAGATTCAAATAGAAAGAAATAATTTATAAAATAGAACATCAGTAGAATGGTTCAAAGAAATGTTTTTGAAATAAAAAATAAAATAGCAAATATCTTGCAAATAAATCTAGATTAATAAAAATATAATACAAACCAAATAAGAAGATTGAGCTAAATATTTAGCATAGAGAAGGTTAAGAGTATATTATGCATGAGTATGTTAATAAATGCAAAAATTCTTATGAAATAAATAAATTGAAAAAACTCATAGATTTGAAATAGAAAACATACTCTTGCTCATATAACTTCACAGGTCACGGAATAGTTCATTTTCATGCAATATAGAATATTCTAAACCACAAAGATACAGAAAACTAGCTAATGCATTCCATGAAGGGGAGATAAGCTTCATCATAAAGTCAGTCACTGGTAATTTAAGAAGTAATATGGCAATCTCACTTAAAATTAAAGATGTGAAATTCCTAAATCAATATTAGCCAATAATATTTAACGTTATGACAAGAGAATAATCACTCTAGTTAAGTAATACTGAGCCTAGAAATGAAATGATGGACATTTATTAATATAACAAATCACTGATTAATGAATGAGAAAACAGGAGCAGCCATCACTCATAATTTTCTAGCACCCGTCATGGTCATCTGAGCCCGAAAGTTTTCTGAGATCGCCCAGCCCCATCAGAACCATCTGCAGCATTCAACCTTATGTGCGAGGGCCCAGGTTTCCCATAAGCTTGCTGGAAATTCTTGGGGCCGGGACACCGCGGGGTGGTGGTGGCAGGAAAGACCTGTGCCTTATCGACGTGGAACCTGTCCTCCATGACTGTAGAGCTGTCTGTGCTCCTATCTGAGACCAACACTCCCGCCTGCGCCCAGATCCTTATCCTCTCTCATCTAGAACTTTGTTCCTGCCCTGAACTACTAATGTGCCTGCCTTTCTGGGTCATTCCATCTGCATAATGTCTGACAGCTTGATATCATTAAAAAAAAAAAGAAGAACTTTCTCTATACCCTACATCCACCTCCACCTTATCACCTTACTGCTTTGTGTCCATTTCCAGCAAATTCCTTAAAGGACTCATCTCTTCTTCTCCTCCTTTTCCTCTTAAACGAATTCCAATTACACTTTCACGTCTGAACTCCAGTGAAACTTCCCCATCAGGGTCTTAACATTACCCATGCCAAAGGTCATTTCTTAAGATCTGACTGAAGTAACAGCCGTGTCTAACAAATGGTCATTCCCTCCTTAAAACACTTTCTTCACTTGAATTCCACGAAACCACATTCTCCTAATTTTCTCCCATGCTAGTAGCCAAAATTGTTAGTCCCCAAATGTGTGTTAGATGGTGGGAAATAAATCCTATGAAAATCCAGGGCCTGCCACATCAGTCGAGTTTTTAGATGTCCATTGGTCTGATGCATGGAGGGACATCATTGTAAGGTGAAGGACAGGATTTTGGTGAAAAAATTCATCCTCCTGGTTGCAGTGCCATATAACTTCAGCCCATCAGGGTGTCTTTAAAAGGAGCTGGTCAAGTTCAACTTACACAGTTATTAAACATTCACACAGAGCAAAGGCCATTAGGCTGCAGAGTTCCAGCCCAGCGCGTGAGCTTTCGTGTAAAAGCAACAGACCTCTGAACATTCTGCTCCATAAATACGGAGCTGACAGACCCCTAACTGCAATGGCGCTAGCCGGCCCAGCTGTGACGACTGCCCGTGTGCATAACAGAAATCAGAACTTCATGGCGTCAGGAAGGACTCTGGAATCTGAATTCTGACAGCCAGCACTAGGTGGAGACAGCGACTCGTGCAACGCTTGCAGGCAGCCTTCTTCTGCCTTTTGAGAACTGATTTCTAGTTAATATTTTCCATTCTTCTCTTCAATGCAGAAAAGGCTGTTCTTAAACAATTGGTATTTTTAATAGAAACGTTATATATAACAAAACATCTCAGGCTTCAGAAGGACCTACTAGAAAACACACACACCCTACAAGGTAGCCAAATAAGGTTCAAAGGCAAGTTTATTTATTTAAAATAGTGTCTTTATTACCCCTGCCTTTCCATTAAAGGCAAAATTCTATATACGATACCTCATGCGTATCTACCCCCATGGATAGGAGTATGACCAAAGTTAAAAGATCCTCCTGGATTTATCTGAACCTAAAAGATCAAAAATTAGGATCGTTCTTCAACATGTTGGTTGACCGATATCCCCTCCCACAAAAACAAAGTCCAGAATTGATCAGATCGATTTCAGTCTGATTAATGGAGTCAGAGCGCCACCAGAATGCTCTAATCAATTAATCTCATAAAGGCATGGGAAACAAAAACAATTTATCTCGATAATGTTTTTGGAGTCCAGTGCCTTTGACAGACTTTGGCATTGTGGCAGCCTATGAGAAATTGTGTGAGACTGTGACAAAAGGTGTTATTTTGTACTCCTGGAAATAAATACTAAAATAAAAACAAACCTAAATCTGCCCCAGATGAAGAGAAATAGTCTTTTTTCACATTCTATCAGGACACAGTTATATTGAACATAGTAATAAAATATGACATAAATACATAGTTGGATCTGATAAATTATAAATACTCTGGCAAATTCCAACTTAAATCAGCAGTGTCTAACAAACATGCCTATGATCAGATTCACATCCCACAACTGTCAAAGAAACTCTTTAACTCTTTAGGTCCTTACACTAGGACCTATTTATTTATTTAACTGGTCACTTTTCATTTTTTAAGGTTATCTAAGCAACAAGATTAGACATAAAATTCATCTATAATTAATTTAAAATTGCATGGTTCCTCAGAAACAGTGAAAGCATGTTATTCTTATAGAACAATAATAGACTCCATGGACTGATTTTGATAGAAATCAGTTTATAAGACTAACTTTAAGTACCTCATCTCTGAAAAAAAGAAAGGGATAGGAGAAAGAAATGGGCAGATTGCAGTAATAATATTAATAATAATAGTAACTATCTGCTTTGATGGGATTTAATCACAGCCCAACAAATTCCCATGGATGGGAACTGTTTTGAGGCTTTCTAAGGGTCTGGGTCTCTAGACAGGGAAGAAATATTCAAAATTGGGAACTACACACACAGCTAACCTTAAACACTGTGTAAGGGTTAAAAGATTAGATACATAGCTGGAAACCTAGATCCATCACATCACTTTCTCGTCTTTTACCAGTACCACTGTATGAAATATTTTAGGCTACATTTATTTTGCAATTTATACTGAATATTAAAGGTAAACTTAATAGTGTATGTAAATAATTATTTTTAAGATTTAAGTTTTAAATAACTTTAACAGAAACAAGGCACTGAAGACTGCAGTGTTATTAATTTATAAGCTAAAATTTACAAAGATCAGGTAACTTCTGTATATTAAACACTATTCTACATTATTCTACTTTATTCTTGGAATATTTTATATAAACTAATAACTACACTTGGAATTTGTTCTTCTGTCATATATTCCCATTGGCCCTATCTCTTTACATTATTTTAACAACTAGCTACTTACATAAGACAGAGACTGGATTTCAATGGCAGCTAAGGGCTAAGGGGAGAACTCTAGGATCATGTTTCCATCGTGCATAACTGGGAATTTCTAACAATGAGAAATCTTTCCAACAACTACACTGAAAAGAACATTTGTTTCATAATAATTTCCATGATTTTATATGATATTCCTCTCAATTGAAGATCACTAATTAAGCCTTTTAACACAATCCAAAGTTATTTTTTAAAAGATCAATTATGAAATATGGTAGA